CTATAAATGAATAGTTTTAATAATTGGTAATGTCATTGTCAAAAGAACTTCCAACCGAATCTTAATCATTTTTATCATTTTTAATTTAAAACTAATTAGTAATACTGTGTTTTTTTTAATTTGTTTTTTCTTCAAAATTAATAACTTTTTATTATTTTTAATTATCTTAGTTTTTTATTTTTTAAAATATTTTTAATTATAATAGGTTTTAATTAAGAATATTCTAAATATTCTTAATTTTTGATTTTTTAAGTGGTTTCTTCAAAAAACATGAAAGAATTTAATATCAAATTATATTTATTTTCATTAAAAAATTTTCTTAAATCTTAAATATTCTAAGACTCGAATTTTGACCCTAATATTTAAATTTTAGTTTTAATAATTATTGAATTTTCTAATAACCCGTATTAAGATTTTAGATCTTCTTCTAATTTTCCTATATATTCAAGCATTTATTCCTTATATTCATCAATTTTACATGTTTCTTACTAAAACTGGATCAATTATTATTCTAAATTTAAAGTTTTAATTGAATTATTTTATCCAGTAAGGAAATTCATTAAAACCTAGACAATTCCAGCCTCTAAAATTTAATTAAACTATTAAACATAATGTTCATTTAATGCTTTTTCTTTTAAATAGACTTATTAATTTAATAATTTATCCCAATTTTTGGTTTCATTGATTTATCTTTATTTTAATTTTTCTATTTTCTATTATTTTATATTTTCATATTAATACAAATAATTATATTATTTTAAATCCTCAGCCTTTTCTTCACACTTTATTTCTAAATTATCCGCAATTCTGACTATTAACCTAAACGAGCTATTTTAATAAGGAAAAAGGGACTCCTTTCCCTACAAAAGAGGCAAAAGATATTAAAAATACTTCCCACCTTCACATCTTTCAATTTCTAGTGAAAATTTATCCTAATTTACATATTTTTCTTCCAAAAGTAAACATCTCTTAATCACCATACCTGTTTCTAAATTATTTACATACATTTTTAAGTCCTCTTTTTCAGAATAAGAAATTATTAAGTTTACACAAGCATAAGCTAATTCCATTTTTTCTTCATTTTCTTCGGGATCATTTGTTAGATCTCTCTCCATATTTTTTAATAATCTTTTTATAAAAAATAAAAATAATTATTGATATTTTTGTTTTTATTTACATTCCATAAACTGTCTTAATTGTATTCTCAGCATTTATAATACAAAACTCTTTACAGGTTTATTCATTACTTAGAATGCAAAATTTAGAAATAGTCATAATAATTAAAGAAAGTACTTTCTCAGTTTTACCTGCTCCTAAATTTTAATAACTATTAATAACATTTGATAAAATAGCGATTTAACTAGATTTCCATATTTCTTAAGGTAAAGAAATTAAACAAAATGAAATTACCACTCTTACATCATCATCTGGTATTGCCAGACATTTGAAAAAATTGGTATCAGCGCCTTATTATATAAGATTAGTTGCTATTTCTTAATATTCATTGAAATAATCTTATTTATCATCTTACAATTTATTATTTCTTTCAAAGAAAATTCGAAAAAGTTCAATAATCTAAATAAATAGTTAAATTATTATTTAATTATTTAAATTCATTAAGTTTGTTTTAGGGATATTTAAATATCTTAAAAGCATATCATATTTAGAATCACCTAAATATTAAACTAATTGATTAAATTTTTAACTTTTTATTTTTAAATATCTTAATATTTATGCATTCTTCATTATTTTTACATTATTTAATAAATATTAGGTAAATTAGCAAACTGCTTATAATAAATTCGGATCAACAAACTCTATAGCTATAATTAAAAGAATATCATTAATTATTTGACTTTAATCGAATTCCTTTGTTATTATTTAAAATTAAAGTAAAGATCCATATGTAATAATTCTTTGAGAGAAACTTTTATATTTTTATTCTATTTCTATATTTATTTACTTTTATTTAATATAAAAAAATTAAATTAATTAATTTATATAAAAATTAGGTTTTTTTAAAAACAAAATACTTCAAGTTTAGTTTTTTGTATATTTTACATAGTATTATTACCTTTCTTAAATTCATATATACATTCTTAAAGCAGATTTTCAATTAAAATCATAAAATTATTATCTATATATACCGATTGAAGTAACTAAATAGCAACTTAAGAAATACCATTTATTTTATAATTTAAAACAGAATTATTGACAATTTAAAGAATTTACATAATTTAATTATTATCATTTATACTCATTTTTAACTTCAAAAGTATTGTTAAATTATAATAAAAATTATAATTTTAGACATTTATATCAATATCTTAAATTTCTAACTATTATTCAAATAATTTTTTAACAAAACTGGATGATTCACAAAGACAGGCTATAAACCTAAGTATATATTAAAAAATATAAAAAGAAAAATTATAAATAAATATAATATATAATAATATATAAAATATTATATGAAATATTATATAAATTAATATATAATATTATATAATTATGAATAATTATAATTATATATATATATATATATATATTTTATATATATTTTTTATATTTTTTATTTTTCTATTTTTTTTTTTTAATTTTTAATTTTTATTAGTTTTAGTTTTTTAAAAATAATAAAATAATATTAAAATATTTTAACAATTAATATATTTTAATTTTTACTATAAAGAAGCTTATTGCATATCATTATGTATATAGACTAATTTTTTTTCTATTTATAATTCTATCATTTATTTTATCCAATTATGAATATATTAAACTTCTATATCTTCTTGTAGAAATGGTTTATTAATTATTTCCATTGCATTTACAACGCCATTTATTAAATAAATAGGAATTTTAAATAGATCATTTTTATTTAAAAATATTTTAGAATGTCTTGTTATTGTATCTATAACTCTTTCTTATATTTCATCAGTCATTTTAATCACTTAATTTATCGCTTCATAACATTATTGAGCAAATTTTTAATTTATAATTGTCATTTTTATTATAATATTAATTAATTCATTTACAAATTAATTTTAATTATTTATAAATAAAGAAACATCATTAAAAAAATCATCTATTATATTTTACTTTTATATTTAACAATATATTTTTAATATTTTAGAATGTAAATATTTTTTTTAATTCATACCACTTTAGTAAATTCTAGAGGATTTTCTGGTTAAAATATATATTACCAATTATCTTATTGATTGACTAATAAATCCACATATTTATCTAATGTTTTTAAATATTTACTAGTCCTAACAGGATCTTTATTACAATTATTTATTGCAAAATATATTTTTTCCAAAAGCTTATAAAAAATATAAAAACTTAAAATAATTTCATATTTACATATATGATTTATATATAATTTATATATAATTTACTTAATTATGATTTATTTCTTCTTCTTCTTATTCTTCATAGTTCTTTAATTAATGCAGTTCTTCTTAATATTTTTTTTTTTCTTCATGGTAAACTCTTATATTATTAAGAACAAATGTATTTTTTTTTTCAATTAATTTAACTTTAATTTACAATTCAATAAATTGTTAACTTTAAAATAATTAATTATCTAAAAAATTAATATTTTCAATATTTTTAAATGAAGCAATAGTTTTAATAAACTCATGTTACAATTTATCGGTTTTAAATTTAATTCTATTATTTTAAATATCCAATTATTTAATATTTTCCAAGTTTTGAAATTAAATGCAAGGAAATCTTTTAATTCTATTTTTCGATAAATTCAAAACTTCCAATTTTACAAAATGTTTCACAACAGGAAACTTCGTTAATATATTTTCTGATAAATTTAAGAATTTCAAATTTATTAAATGTGTTAATTCTACCAAACCAGAAATTTGATTTTTAGATGCATTTATATTTTCCAAAAATTCAAATTAATTTAATTCATTTATTGACTATAAAGAATTATTTGAAATATCGATTTCCTTTATATACCTAGTCCTCTCCTTTTCATATAATAATAATCCACCCAAATCTTTCAAATTATACTATTCTGAATGAAAATTAATTCTTTAAACTTTCTAACCTACTGCCTTATCTAATTATTATCTTAATAATTATTCAGTAATTCTTTCATGTTTTTATTTCTATTAGCGAATGGCGCTATTTATTTTTTAATTTTAAATTAATAAATTATTTAATTTTCTTTATTTTTAATTAATTTATTATTAATTTTTATCTTTTTAGATATCATTTTAAAAAGGAGGAGAGACTAAAATTTTGGGACCGTCTAAATCAAATTAGAAAATATTTTATGATGATTTCTATGTATTTTAATTTTTTATATTTTTTTAAGAGACAGATATTATAGATTTTATATTCTATGAATTTACTAATGATAAGGATTATTAAGATTGCTTTTCAAATTAATTTTATAACTATTATTATGATATTTGAGAATTAGGAGATTTTTAATCTTAGTTATGATTTTATATAATAGAATTTTATTTAGAAATACTTTTTTTAGAAGAACTCTTTTAAGAATTGTTTTCTGAGTTTAATTCTTAGATTTCTTACATATTGAATCTAAAATATTATCTTTTTTTGAAATAAATAAATTTATTTTAAATTAAATTATAATATTTTATTATTAAATTAAAAAAGAAATCAAAAAAAAAAAAAAAAAAAATTTAAAACATTATTGATATTATGTAAAAAATAATATATATATTAGAAAAAAATAAATTATTATTTTTTTTAAAAAAATATATATAAATTATAATTAAGCTTTTTATTTATATAAATATTTAAATTTAAATATATGTTTTATTAACTTTATTTATTTTGTTTTTTAAAAAAAAAAATGCAAAGAATTTTAAAATTTTGTTTGTATTGATTTTAATAATTTTAAATTTTACTTTTTTTATTATCTTTTTTCATTAATAATTATTGTACATAATATAATATAAATTAATTTTATAATTTTTTAAAATAATACAAAAATTAAATACAAAAAAATGAATAATTTTAAAAACTTATTGGAAGAATAAAACGATAGTCCTAATTTCATTGAATTAAATTAAACTAATCTTTAGGAATAAATGGATGATAAATAAGATTAGTTAGAATATTTAAATAATTAAACATTATCCTAAGAGGAGCGTAATTTGCCTATTATAGAAAAAATATAAAGTAATAAATGGCAATTAAGAAAACTCGGCTACAAAGAATTATAATAATTGTTCATAAATCATAACGAACTCAAAAACATATCACAAGCAGAAAATACAAAAATATAATCTATAGAAAACTACGCACCTTGGTTAAATAACATAATTAATGAAAGCAATATGATAGCATTAAATTAAGGATTATAAACAATTTAAATTTTTGTAGATCTTAATAAAGATATATTATCTAATTAAATAATTACATATTATATAAGCGAATTAATTGAAAAAGCTTCATTATTAAAACCATAAATGCAAGTAATAATAAATAAAGAAATAATATTAAAATAAATATATATTTTATTTTATTTTTATAAAAAAAGTAAACGGCAATTGATATATTATTAATAAGCTTATAAAAAAGTGAGCACAATTATGCATTATAGGAAATAATGAAACGATTTTTAAATAAAAATCCAAAAATTGTATTATTTGCATTAAATACTATTAACATTGCTCTAGAAAACTAATTACAAGAAAATATGAATTTATTTAATAATGAAAATATGCGTTAAATATTTATTTAGAACTTAAAATTATTGAAACATATAAGTAAGGAAATAAGAAATGTTGCAATAAGTAATTTAAAATTAATATATTAATAATGCCAAGATTCATTTGAGGAGATAAAGAATTAATTTATGACTAATTTAAGGTAAGTTCATTTGAAAGAAATAGAAGAAATTTTCAAAAAAACGAAAAAGAAATCCAAATAAATTCAATTAATAATTGAAAATACAAGCCAAAATACTACCAAAGGATAATAAAAAGTAGATTTACATACAATTGTACCAGATAAATTTTTCGAAATTCCTTATTTTTTACAAGTCAATTTAAAAATCAATAAACTTGAGGAAATGTCATAAAACATCTAAAAACTAATAGACAATAAGGCTATTCCTATAAAAGAAAATAAAGACTATTCGAATATATTTAACGTGCTAATTTCTTGTGTTTAAGAAAGCAACTTTTTAATATATTCAGAAGCTATTAAATGTTTCCAAAAATTAATGAAATTACTAAAAAATGGAATTACTTTTCCTATATTAAAACATTTTTTAAGCCTGATTTCTGAAAAGTTTAGAGGACCAAAAGCCAGATAATAAAATTCTGTCGTCTGGTAAGCTTTAGATGAATGTTTATTAAATTAATGCTGTTCAGTAGAATCAATAATTGAAATTCTTCTGAATTAAGCAGATAATGAGAAAAATCTACATATGAGAATAGGAACTATTAATTGGTTAGGGGGGAGATTTATACCTTATAGTGCATAAATAATAAAAGATTCAATAAATTTATTAAATGAAGAAAATTAAATTATGTCGAATAAAGGAGAAAAAATATAGAAAATTATGGAAAATGTAAACAGGAAAATAGAGCAAATTAGCAAAAAGGCGCTGAATTTATAACTTAAAGAAGCATGCTAAAATTTACTTATGAAAAAATAAAATGATTATTTTTAAGAATTTGATAAAGAAAACAATATTAACGAATGTAATAATGCAATAATATAAAATTAAGAAAATAATAAAATCATTAATATTACAAAAATAATATTAAAAATAATAATAAAAATGATGAAAATATTTATAATAATAATAATAATAATAATAATAATAATAATAATAATAATATGGATGTTCAAAAATAAGAAGTATTGAATTTACTTGATGTGGATATTAATTAAAAAAGTCAAACTTAATTATTATTATTATCTATTTAATAAGAATTAAATAATTTAATGTAGATTTCATTTAAAAATTAAAATATTGAAGAATTTTAAACTGAATTTATTTCTTGGTTTTCTAATATTGATAAAGAAGACTTAAATATAATTTAAGATAATATTATTGATAAAATATAGTAATTTTAAATTTAAATTTCTATAAAGTAAAATGAACTAAAATAAAATATATTTTTAAGGCTTAATAATTTTACAATATAATTTTTAATGTTATTAAATAATTAAATTCTTAGTTTAAGTTAACAAAATTGTTAAAAACAAATCGAAATAATAATTTAAATTAAGCATAAATAATAATTATAAACTGAATATTTTGATAGTTTATACTCTGTTTGTTCTATTGAAAAAATATTAATTTCTATATATAATATATTTTGTTTAATTTAAAAAGAAGAAGAGAAACAATAAATGATTCCTTTTTTAAATTGGGTTTCTTAAAAAATAGATAAATATGAAAAATAAATAAATGTAAATTTATTAAAATAGCTAGAAAAGGTAATTTATTAAAATGAAGAATTCGAAACATTTTAAAATTCATTAAAATTAAAAATACAAAATTAATAATCTACAGGCAATTATAAAACTAAAAAATGTTAACAATTGATTACTATTGTAACTTAAATTGAGTTATAATTAGAAGCTAATTTTTAAATTGGAGCTTAATAAGTAAAAAATTATTTATTAAATTAAATTTAATATACTTAATCATAAAATATATCGCCTGGAAAAAAATGGATTAGAGGTGTTGGAAGAGATCTAAATTCAGTTTAAAAAACTTTAAATATGTGTAAACATTAAATATATGTTTTATTTTTTTAATAAAAAAATATACAAAAAAAATAGATGAAATTAAATAAGTTTTAGAAATATTTTTCACAAAAATAAATTATTAAGATTAGAATTTATGTGATTAAGCCTATGAAGTTATATTAGATATAAAATATACAATATTAAATTAATATTAAGTATTAGAGTGTATTATAAACTATACATTCTTATATATATGTCGATAAGTATTTAAAAATAAAGAATAAAAATATTAATTAAAGTAGTTTTTGGTAGAATTTGAAAAAGGAATATAAATAACAACAATATAAAAATAATATAGGAATATATTTTCTTTGGTATTAAAATAAAATAAATAATAATGTGAGAACTTAATAATAAATTTATTTACATATTTTCTATAAAACTTTGATTAAATTTAAATTAATGAAATATAGTTTTTTGTAGAAAGTATTATATATTGCTTAAGTGAAACTAATTTATATGAATTAGGAAGTGAATTAATTAACAAACTGTATTAGAAATTTAATCATGAAAAGTTGAGAAAAATTTTCGAAACTGAACTTATTTCTTCAATGAAATTATATTAAATTTATTTGGATTTTATTAATATTAATTTCTAAAATGATAATTCAACAATAAATATAAGTTTAGAAACAAATAATTTTTAATAATAATAATAATAATAATAATAATAATAATAATAATAATAATAATAATAATAATAATTAATTGTAATAATCATTACATAATTAAAATTATCATTCTAAATTGAATAATATAAATAATTAAAATAATCATAATTAATGTTATTAAAATATTTTAGATTAAAGTTTAAATGAATAATCTCATTTTAATTTAGTTAATTAAAAATAAAAATAAAAATAAAACATTTAATAAAAAAACAAAATTATTAAAAAATAAACTTGATTTGTTAGACTATTCTCATTCATTTGATGAAAATACTTAATAATTAAAAAATATTAAAAATTAAAATTCTCCAAAATAAATATAAGAAATTTAATAATTATAAAATGTTGATTTATTAGGTTTAGATGAAGAATATGTACCAAATGAATAAAAAGTACATATTACAGAAATATATTCTGATATTTAAACAGAAAAAACGAAAATCATAATAAAAACTTATTTTCAGTTTCTCCAATAATTAAAGAATATGTTGAAGAAAAACTTAATTTATCTGATTATAGTGTAGCTTAAAAGATAAATAATTAATAAATAGATAAAAATACATAATTTTATATTAAATATTTGGAAGAAAAAGAAAATCATTAAAAAACTAAGGAAGAACTTTTTAGAAAACAATCAGAGATAATTAAAATAAATACTGAATTTGATACGCTTAAAGAAGAATATTAAAAAAAAATGAAATTAATGTAATAATATGAGGAATTAATTTAAAATCAAATATAACAAATACAACATTTGTAATTAATAAATGAATAATAAAATAATTAAATATAAATAAATAATGATTTAAAAAATCAAGAATAAAAAAATTAGCAAAAGACTTTATAATTAATAAACAGTCCTAATGATTTAGTATTAAATTAAGATGGAAATTAAATAACTATAATATAATAAGTATATATATATATATATAATATATAAGTAAATATTTATGTATATATATATTTATATATTAATTATTTTTTATTTTTATATTATTTTTAGATTTAAGAAATGTTAATTACAAGTGATTCTTTAGAAGATGAGTTTTGTGAAACAATATGGTAAAGCTATTAAAATATTGATTCTGTGAGCCAGAAAATATAATCTGTTGTCGAATTGAAATAATCAATAATGAGCTAAACACTTCTTTTTAATTTATCCGAGCTTAATTATAAATGTATTCTTGCATTAGTATTAAAATTATGTACTTCAGAAAATACTTATAAAGAAATAGCTTTAGTTAAAGAATAAGGAAAATATTAATAAAATGATTTGACTAAGGAATTATAAATTCTTTTGGATTCTATTATTTGTTCTAAACCACCAACATTAGTTATTGTTTGCGGAATATAAATATTAACAGAATAGATTCCTAAAGATTTAAATATTTAATATTCCAAAAGTAAATTAAACAAAAATATATATATATAATTTATTTAAAAAAAAAGATTAAAAAATGTTATTCAGATTAATTATTAAATGTATAGAAAAAGTTATTTAAAATAATTTATAATTAGGAGTTTTTTAAATTCTAAACTAAATATATAAATTCTTTAAAATTCATAAACCTGAAAATTTAATAGTAAAAAATAAAAAAGCAATGCAAATAATTTATTTTTTTTAAAAAAGGATAGTTTACCATGCTTAAAAGATTTAGAATTTATTTTTAGATGCCTTAAAAATTTTTCAGATTTAATTTCTTAATTAGATGTAGAAAAAGCAAGTGAATTTATTGATTTTATTAAACATGAAAATAATAAGAATATTTTCCTATAGTACTTAGAAAAGTATATTTAAAAAATATAAACTGAAATATAAGAAAAAAATGATAATCATTTATAAAATAAACTATAATATTAGGAAGAATAAAATTATAATAATTAAGATCATGAAAGTATAAAATAAAGCGAATATATAGATAATGATAATGAATATTAAAATTAAAGCATCGAATATTCTATAAATTAACCATATAATTATTCTGAATATGCTTGACTTAATTTTTTAAATTATATATATATAATATTTAAAATATATATTTATTATATAAAATATATAAATTATTTAATTTAATAAGGTATAATATTAATATTTTTTATTTATTTTATTATTATGTATAGTTTACTAATTATATAATATAATAAAATTAAAAATAAATAAATTTATATATATATATATATAATATAATAACATAATTAAAAAAAAATAAAAAAATATTACAATAATTTTTGTATATATTTATTTGTTTTGATTAAAAATAAATAATATATATCTTTTATTATTATATTTTAATTTATCTATAAAATAATAATAATATAAAAATATATAGAGATATAATAGATAAAAATAATGAATATTAAAATTAAAGCATCGAATATTCTATAAATTAACCATAAAATTATTGTAATTATGCTATATAAATTATTTAAATTATATATATAAAATTAAAAATATATTTATTATATAAATTAAATAATTAAATAAAGTATAATTATATTTATTATTAATTTTTTATTTATTATTTAAGTTACATTTATAATTTATATAAACATAAATAATAAAAAAAAAATATAAATTTATATATAAATATAATAGCATAATAAAAAATATTAATTTTTATATATATTTATTTATTTTTATTTTAAATACAATATATGTTTTCATTAATCTATTTTAATTTATATGTAAAATAATAAATTAAAATTTATATAGAAATAAATATTAATATAAATTAGAGATTTTAAAAATAATAACAAAAATTATTTTCTAATATAAATATATATATATAAATCTCTATAATAATATAAAATAAAAAATATAAATATATATTTTATATATACATATTTATATATTTATATATATGTTTTTTATAATCAGCAACATTTTTTATTTTCTTCTTTTAATCTATCAAGTGGTTTATTATTTCCTGTTAATTATATATTTCCTCCTATATTTTGCTATTTTTATTATATATTATTATTATTAGGATTGTCTCCGACTGTAATATCTTATTTATCTGAACTTAACAAACTATAAGAAATTTATTTAAAAACATTTTAAATATTATTTCCATCTTTTGCTGAAACTTCGAAAAATAACAAACCTTATTCAGTTGCAAACTTATTTCCATCTTCAGTTGATACTTGTCTTTTTTTTTATAAATTTATTTTATTTATTTTTTCAAATAAAGAAATATATTTATTTAATAAATATACCTTTAATCTGCTAAATCTATTTTATTTGCTAATAAAACAATCAAAACATCTTTTCCTCTTTCTTCTCTAACATAATCTAGCCATTTATTTAAATTTTGGAAAGATGATAAATCTTAAAAATAAAAAAAAAAAATACAGATTTCTTATAATTAATTTTATTTATTTTTACTAGTTGTATCATATACAATTATTCCTGCATCAGAATCTCTTATATAAGATGGTATTAAACTTCTAAATCTTTCTTATCCAGCAGTATCCCATAATTACAAGCGAATTGTTTTATTTTCTAAATGGAGAGTTTTAGCAACAAAATCAATACCAACTGTTGGCTTTTTTAAAACAGTTTTATTTTTTAATTTATTAAATGTTCTTTTTACTTATAATAATTACTTGCTATGTACCAGTAAAGTTATCATACATAAAACGATTTATTATTGAAGACTTTCCAACTGATTAATCTCCAATAAATACTAATTTGTATTTTCTAACTTATTTGCTTATGCTTTAATCAGTCATATTTGTTAAAAATATATTTTATTATTTTTTATTATATACAAAATATATTAATAATTTTTTTTTTATGTTTTTTTTATTATTTTTTTAGATATTATTAATTATAAGTAATTTCATATATTATTTAAATATTTAAATAAAATAATATATTTATAAAAAAAAAAAATTCAAATGATAATAATATTAAAAAAATAATAAAAAATATTTTTATTCTGTTTGAAATACTAATTTTTCTACAAAAAGTATGTTATATGATAAAAATACATTTATTTCTATTAAAATACTAATTTTATATATCTAATTAATTTAAATATGCATAAAAAAGATATTAAAAAAATTAATTTTTCTATTTGATAATAAATTAATTATTCTATTATATTTTTTCTTAAACTTATTATAAATCTTATTATAAATATTTGGTTTACTTAATATAATTTTTATGTTTAATAATATAATTAATTAAATCATTATGATATTAAAAAATTGCTAATTAATTCATATTATTGTTTAATAAAGTTTAATATAGATAAAAAAAAATTGCATTTGTAGTTTTTAAAGTTATTTAATCTAAAAAAGGAATCATTTTGGCTTTTTAACAATAATTAAAGATTATTGAATGAAACAAATTTATTAACTTAATATATACCTCTAAAAAATGTAAAAATCCTTCTATGTGTTTTTTTTTAAATATAGTTGAATAAATTTAATATGACTAAATAAATTCTTACAATTATTAATATAATCTAGCAAATGAATATTTAAGTATATATTGAAAATAATTTTATATATTTAAAAAGTTTATTAAAAAAATAAAAATATAAAATAATAATAAATGTAAATAATTTTATAAATTTTTAAAGAATTTCATCAATTTTTTAAATAAAAAATTAAATAATTGTAAAAATTTTTTTTTATATATATATATATATCTAAAATATAATATTAATATTAAAAATATATATTACAAAATAAATTTTCTATTAAAAAAAGTATTATTTTTAAATTTACATTTTATATTGATCATTTATTATAATAATTTATAGCTTTGCCGAAAAATATATTTTTAAAATATAAGTTATATTAGTTTAAATGATAATCAAAATTTTAATTATATTATTATAATTAGATAAATCATATAATAATATTATATTTTTCAAAAATAATTTAAAAATCTATTTAAAAATATTTGTAATATATTTTAAATTGGCATGTTTAAATTAAATTCATTAATTAATTTTATTTTTTATATATATTCTTAAAGTAAATAATGTATAACATTAATATAAATAGAATTACTTTAACATTGAAATAATTTTATTAAATAGATAATATATATAATAAAATAATGAATTAATATTTTTTATAATCTTTTAATTAAAACTCTAATAATAAAAAGAGTTATTCAACATAATTAATATATAAATTTAAATTCAAAAACTTTAAATTTTAAGATTTTATTTATTTAAAATCTTAATTCTTTTTTAACCATAAATGGGGATTAAAAGGTAAATATACTATTTAATTTTAAAAAATTATTCTCTAATATATATTTATTATTATAAATATAATTTATAAATAAATTATGAAATATTAATTTTTAAAATATGTTTTAATATAATCAAAGGTAAGTAATTTATATAAAATGATAAAAATATAAATTTATTCTTATTATAATATTTAATATATATTATTATTATTATTATTATTATTATTATTATTATTATTATTTATATATTTATTATTAATTCTTTCATAAAATTTATTTTTTAATTATCAAAATTAAATTATTTTTTTTCTTAAATTTAGAATATAATATAAACTTGAATTTTTTTTTTTATTATTTTTTTAATTTTTTTTTTTCTGGAATATTTAATTTAATAATATATTTAAAATTATTTTTACATATTATCTTTTTTTAAAAAAAAATATTTATATTTTATTAAAATGAATAATGAAATAATATGATTTTTTATTTTTTTAATTATTTGTTACATATATAATATTTTATGGTAAATCAAAATATTACGAATATATTGTAATACATTAATCTGGTTTATTTTTAGCAAAAAAAAATAAACATTAATAAAGAAGAAAATTAAAGAAAAATAAAAATTAAAATTAAAATAATATATATTTATAATATAAAAAATTATACACATAAAAAATTATGAAAAAAGAATTAAAAAAAAATTAAAGAAAAAATTCCGTGAAGATGGTTTAGAATTGCCTTCAATATTATTAGAAGAAGACCTAGATGAAAACGGTGAATTATAAAAAGAACAACAATTAAACTAAGAAACAGAAATAACTTAAAAATAAATCTTAAAAAGCTAAGATTCCGAAACCCATATATGCAATGAAGTCGTTTAAGAAGAAGATGAATAAGAAGAATACCGAGAATAAAATATTGATCTTTAATAGATCAGAGACAAACTAAAAATATAATAAAAAACCGGCGAAAAAAGTACCAGTAGTGTTGGCTCTGAAGAAGAGGAATTTGATGAAAAAGAATTAAAAAAAAGAGTTTAAATAATAAATCAAAGCGAAATATAAAAAACTGGCCGCTTATAACCTGAATCTAGTGAATAGGAAAATTATCCAAAATTTTTTCAGTATAATAATTATTACTAAGAAACAGAAAATTAACCCGAATTAGAAGAAGAAGAAGAAGAGGAAGAAGAAAATTCATAAGATTCCTAATAAAATAAAAATATAACCAAAAATATAAATGATAATGAAAGTAATTCTTTAATAGATAATGAACTTGAATTTTTCTAAAGTAATACTTAAATAAATAAATAAAAAAAATATATATAATTCCTTATATATATCAAAAAGATGAAAATATGAAAGAATAATTAATTACTTCCCGAAAGGCATCCTAAAATGAAAAAAGTTTCGATATTTAAAATTCTTCTTTGAATAAAATTCCATAAAATAATATTGAGGAAATAATTACTTAAAGAAGACTATCTAATCTTCTCCTTAAAAAAGAAAGCTCTATAAAAAATAAAAAAAATATAGAAAATCTGGAAACACCTTCTTCTTTTAAAGATGATGATATTAAAAAAGTTGAAGACATTAAAAAAAATGATGAAAAAATTGAAGAAACAGAAAATAATTAAAAATAAGATGAAAATACTGATAATTAAAAAAAAAAAAAAGCCAAAAAAAATAAAAAATTTGAATGGGGAAACTACAAACGAATGCTTTAATACGCCTAAAAAGAATCAAAATTAACAATTTTAGGCTATATATTTGTAATATTATAGTCTGTATCATAAGTATATATCCCTTAAATATCCGGAAAACTTCTAGACGCGACTATAAAAGAAAGAAATTTACAAATGTTAAACGAAACTGCTTTTTGGGCGATTTTCGTATTTACACTAAATTCTATTAGTTTGTTTTTTAGGACATTTATTTTCAATCTAATAGGCGAGCGTATTATAAGAAACTTAAAAATTGACTGTTTTTAATCATTCATATATAATGATGTATCGTTTCATGATAAATAGCTTTCTGGTAAACTTGTAAGCAGATTAAGTTCTGATATATGTAAAAAATAATAAAATATAATATATATCATTATTTAAATAAATATTAAAATATTTATATGTGTGTAAATAATTATATAAAATATTTAATATAATATCATATATTTTTTAAATAAATTATTAATATATAAATATACATTTAAAAATATTAATTTTATTAATATATTTATTTTATATTTATATATAAATTATTTTAGTGACTCTTAAATCTGCTGTATCAGGAAATATATCAACTTCATTAAGAAATATATTAGTATGTTTAGGAAATGTAATAATGTTGTTTTTAATTAGTCCTTCTTTATTTTTTATTCTTTCGGTTGTTGTTCCTATTTTTTTAGTAACTTCCGGAGTTTATGGAAAATATCTTAAGTAATTAACAAAAAAATACTAAGATTATTGTGCAAAAACTAATGCTAATGCCTAAGAATGCTTTTAAAATATTAAAACAATTAAAGCATTTTGTACCGAAAATAAAGAAGTCTCTAAATTTGCCACTACAATTTAAAAACTATATTAAATAGGTTATAAAAAAAGCATATCTTGTGGTCTTTATAATGGAATTAATTCTCTAGTCAGTAATTTGGCTACCTTAGGTGTTTTATGGTATGGAGGTTATTTAGTATTATCTGTGAACAATTTAACTTCAGGACAATTAGTTTCAGTAATTCTATATACAGGTTCTTTAGCAAGTTCAACCTCATCAATCTCCTCTTCTTTCACAAAAATAGTCACTGCTTCAGGAGCTACTACTAAGTTATTTAAATTAATGGACAAGAAACCCAAAATGCGTTTATAAGGAGGATTAGTATATGATTTTGTTGGTAAAAAAACTAAAATTTAATTTAAAAAATAAATAAAAAAATAGGAAGAATTTAATTCAATTAAGTCGCATTTTATTATAAATATTAAAAAAATATAAAAGTATTAGAAAACTTCAACCTATAAATAAACCCTGGAGAACGCATAGCCCTCGTAGGTCCTAGTGGTAGTGGAAAATCAACCATAATTAGACTAATTGAGCGCTTTTACGATGCCAAACAAGGCACAATAACGAATCGATGGGCACAATATTAAAGACATTGAGTTGAATTTTTTGAGATAAAACATTGGATACGTAAGTTAGGAGCCTTTACTTTTTTCGGGGACAGTAGAAGAAAACATTACTTATGGTTTAAAATAATCTTATACAATAGAAAATTTAGACTATGTATGTAAATTAGCTAATGCATATGAATTTATATATGATAATTAATAATTTCCTTTATAATATAAAAGTTTAGTAGGAGAATAAGGTACTAAATTATCCGGTGGATAAAAACAAAGAATTGCAATAGCAAGAGCATTAATTTTAAAACCAAAAATTTTGATATTTGACGAAGCGACTAGTGCTTTAGATGCAGAAAGTGAATTTTAAGTATAATAAGCAATTGATATGTTAATGAATTAATAAAAAGATATGACTATTATTATTATTGCACATAGACTTAGTACAGTGTCTAATTGTGAGAAGATTATTGTATTAAAAAATGGTTAAGTAGTAGAAATCGGAAATCATAAATCATTAATTGAACTAAATGGAATTTATAAGTAGTTAGTGGAAAGATAATTATAAAATATTACTGTTTGATACTTTTTTATTTATTTCATTATATTTTTTCTTAATCTTATTAGTGTTTTTATTATTTTTTTACTTAAAAAATAACAAATACCTTATTGTTGTTATTTTTTTATACCATTTTAAATATTAATTATTATGTGATCATATTTTAAAGAACTTATAAATAATATATTAATTTATAAAAAAAATATATATTTTTGTTGTATTTCTAAAATATTTGATTTCTTTATTATTATATTTTAAATATTTAATATTATTAATAAATTTTATATAAAATAATTTTAAAAAAAATAATTATAGAGATTATTTATATATATTTAAGATAAATAAAAAAAATTAAATAAATTAATAAATATTATTTAAATTAATTTAATTATTTATAACTTTTTTTATGTATAATTAAAAGAAAAATAAAAAAAATAATGCTATATATCAAAACAAAATAAAACAAAAAACTTACATACAAAATTAACGAATTAAAAAATAAATTCAATATAAATTAATTTAATCAAACATTTAATTAGAATTTGAACTACTTTTTGTAGAATACCCACATTCAGATTAAAATTCTTAAATGGACAATTAACTTATACAATCTTTTAATTATTCAAATAAACCTAGTGTATATAACATTTGCCTGAACTATGTATAATTAAGGTTTAATTATTTATTCTATATCTCAACTAATGCAATTTAAATGACCTAATAAATTCCGAAAGGCATTTTAGACTTTTGGATATCTTTAGTATTAATAAATCCATCTTTATTACTATCCAATTAATAAAAAACATATTAAATAAAATCTAAATTATAGGTTTATTTATTTTTAAAAATAATATTTTCATTATTATTATTATTAATATTATTATTATTATTTTTAATTATATTGTTACTACTTTTATTAATATTGTTATTATTATTTATTATGTTTTTATTATCATTATTTATATTTTTATTATCATTTTTTTTAATTGAATTAATTTAATTTTTATTATCATTTTTTTTATTATTATTATTCTTTTTATTATTAATTGAAATATTATTTTTATAGAGTTAAATGTTTTTTATTTAATCATTTATTTTTGTTTAATTTTTTTCTTTTAAAATATTTTACCATAATTCATAAGATTTTTATGCTTCACTTTTATTTCCATAATCAATATTTTTTCTTCTTTTTTATAGATTATATTCTTCTAACTTTTATGTTTTTTCGAATTTCTATTCTTATTATTCTTCTTAATCTTACAAATTTTTTATATTTTAATCTTTTTTATCTAAATTCATATTTTTACTTTCATTAAAACTACTTTAAATTTAATCTTTTGATTATTATAAATCATAATTTTCATCCATAACAGAAGTAATATTCGAAATATTAATAAAATATGTATTTTATTCATTTTAATTTTCAATTATTTCTTCCGTTTCAATTTTTTCTTCTTTTAAATAATTATTTTCTTCAATAGCATATTACCCGAAACTCGGTTAATAAATTCTATTTTACACTTTTTTTAAAAAAATCTAATCGTTATTTTTATAAAAACAAGTTTCTTATTCTTTTACTTAAATTGGAAATTTCGGTGATTCATTATGTGTTTTTATCCTTTTTTGTTAGTTTTTTTATCTAATTCTTATTAAATATTTTGAATAATATATTCTTTACATTCATCATCTAAATTATGTTCATAACAAAATTAATCAGCTAAATATTGAATATCATCACCATCTTTGACTATTATTTTATCATATTAGCCATTACATATTTCTAATGTTATTATTGCTAAGGTTTTTCGATATTTATTTGGCTATTTTTGGATAATACTTTCATTAATTTACTAAAGATTAGTTCTTGAATTTAAAGAATCATATATTTTTTCTGTTGTTAATAAATAACTCATTTATTATATTTTAAAATTAATTAATAAAAAAATAAATAAAAAATTAAAATAATAAAAATATTTTTATTGATTATATTTCATAAAAATTTGAATATTTATAATATTTTTTTAAACGTATTAAATTAAAATATAATAATTATTAAATAATATTTAAAATATTATATTATGAAAATATTTTAATTAACTAATTTTATAATATAAAATATTAAAAAATAATTTATATTTTAAAAATAAAAAATTTATAAAAAAAAAAAATTAATTTTAAAATTCATTATTTATAATATATTATGAAAAATATAAATAAAGACCTTATGTTAAAAAAAAAAAAATTATATTAAAAAAAGTATTATAAATTAATATTTTATAAAAAAAATAATATAATAATGTAAAAAACAAGAATAATAAAAATTAAATTATAAATATATATATATAAATATATATATATATATATATATATTTTATATTTTGTGTATTTTTTTTAATAATTCAAAATCTTAATTATTTATATTAAATATACTTTTAATTATTTTTTAACAATCAAACTTTTTAATAATATTATAAATAATTATATAATTTTTTGTTTTTCACATATTTCTTTAAGATTATATTTTAATTTCATTTTCTTTCTAAAAATATTTTCTATTGTAATGCCAAAAATCTTCATCTTTATCAATTTATTAATCATCATTATCTGTGTCTTTTTATTCATTTTTTTATTAATAATTTTTCTATTTCTTTTTACTATCAAATCCATATTTTATTTCATTATCAAATACCAAAGCTTAACTCTACATACCTATTAAATTAGACCTAGTATTTTTTATTTTTTAATTTTCTATTTATTTTTCATCTTGTAATTCTTCTTCTTCTTCTTTAATTTCATTTAAAGAATTAATTTCGAAATCATTATTATTTTATTGTTTTTTTTTTTCATATTGATTATTTTAGTTATTTTCTTTTTATTCCTTTTTTGAATTATTTTATATTTAAATCTTTTCAATTGAAGGTTACATTTCCTAATTATATTCTTCGTTTTAATCTCCAATAATAATTCTCTATTAAGTAGTTTTTTATTAACTTACTCTTATATTATTATCACTTTAAATATTAAGTTTACTTAAAATTGTTTTATATTATTATTCTAAATTAGTTAATTTACGTTCCAATTATTTATTTTCTTTTAAAGTTTTTTATATTTTATACTCCGATTAGACTTTGTGAAGAATCTTATTAGTTTTCTTTTTTCGAAAATTAAAATTGAATTTTTTTTTATTTAATTATATTTTCTTATAATATTTCGATATTATTTTTTTTTAATTCTTCTACATTCAATTTTACTACTTTTATTGTTTATTTATCGATATTATTAATTTATTATTATTACTTTTTTTCAATATTTTAATCGTATAATTTTATAAAGGTTAGCATTATTCCAAAAAAAAATATTATGCAAATAAAAGTTAATTAAACATATCCCAAATTATTTATTTATTAAAATAATTTTTCTTATTTTATTACATCTGATTTCAAATTATTAATATATCTTTCTAAAACCGAAATAATGAAAAAAATACCAAAGAAAAAGCATTTCCCTAAATCAAAAAATATCTATATTTAATTCAATTTTTTTTACTTATTAAAAATAAGAGCAAAAAGAAATAAAAAGTAACCAATTTAGATAAATAAAAGTAAATTAATGAGCAAAATAGGTTCAGAATAGACAAATATTAATAAAGAAATATACAAAATATATAAAAGCAATTAGAAATTATTTGTGTTTTTCTTAAAAACATATTTGAGCTTTTTATTTAAATTCTTTTTGTTTTCAAAAATTCTATATTATAAATTATCAGAAAAGATTTTATAAATAAATAAAGAAATATAAAAAATCACAAAAATAGATAAAAAATAACTAAAATATTCTGAGAAGAAAATATTTTCATAACTCCTTAATTATAAAATAGAAGCAAAAAATAAAGGCAAAATAAAAATTTTTTGAATATTAAAAAATATAGTTTTAAATTAAAAAATTTAATTTTTTTAAATTATTAATCTTAATCTATTTAAACAAAATCTTCCTTTTAATCAGTTTTTACTTTTTAAAATGCAATTATGGTACCAGGCTTTATTTTATTTCTTTGTTTTTTAATTTTTTATTTAATTAATTCAAAAATAATCAATAAAACTATCATAAAAACATAAAAAATACCATTTTCAAAAAACAATGAATTCAAATTTCCTCTTTCTTTAAATCTTTTTAAATCTATACCATTATTTATAAACTAATAATTTTTTTAAAATATATTCTCTTTTAAAATATAGTTTTCGTTTCCTTAAAAATATGCATTTAAAGGGACATTATTAATTAAAAAGTCTTAAAAAGGATAAAAATTAAAAATACTAAAAGCTTATAAAAAAACTTCCAGATTTTCTAAAAACCCAATATTTAAAAAAACAGTAAAATAAACAATTTATCCAAACTAAACTATATCTATAAACCGATCACTAAAAATTGAAAAAAAAGCAATATACATCCAAAAATACTTATTATAATATTTATTTTGTAT